TTTTGGTGCATAAATTCAAACAGGAATCGTAGGTGGGGGTAAGACTGGTAGTGCAATACGATAGAGCTTTCAGACTTACCATTTATTAGCTCAAGCATAAGAAAACATGAAGGCTTCAAAAGTATTAGTATCAGCACCTCTCTGGCAGCATGGTGGGAGTATCTAAAAATGACAGTCTTCACTAGTACCATGCAGACGCACGCCTATCTGGAATGGTCCTGATATTTTGCAAAATAACAAATTGATGAACCTTCCGGACTGGAAAAATAAAGGAATCCTATACCTGGAACACATATATGAAGGATTGGACTTCATTCCATTTAATAGAATAGTCTCCCAATTTGCAATAGATAAGAATAGCTTTTTAGAATACCACCAACTTCCTCCTCTCTTTGTTTACTGGGAAACCTGGACAATGTCCCGATTGAAACATCTTTGGCTCACGTGGTTCTGACTGCCATATGCATCACTAAAGCCCTTTTCAGACAGACATTCTGGAACATTTGCGGACAATTCAATCCGGTTTTTAACCGGAACTGTGTTTTCAGACACACTACTTTTGTACCGGAACTTGTCCTTTCGGCTGCGTTCACACAGCAGGGAAAAGTTCCAGATGTCTGACGGCGGCGGGGGGGTGGTGGGTGGTGGGTGGGGGGAGAGAGAATAAGACTCATGTTAAGAAGAAGAAGAAGAAAATATCATTTCTATAGCGCCTCTCAAGATAAAAATCACGAGGCGCTTAAGCATAATTCTGCGCACACGAAGACGCATAAGAGACCTGGCTGATGAAGCTCAATGGTTAAAGGAATCACTGAAGCGGTGTGAAGCGCTCCGTCGCGCGTCTAGACGGTACGGTAGGAGGCGAGCTGCCATGGTTCGCCGCATGCTACAGCAGCAGGCTATCTAGCGTCCCCCGGTCCCCTCCTCCTCCCCTCCCCCTTGTCCGGAACTTTACCTCACCAGTCTGAAGCAGCCACCCTGTCCGTAACATGTCCGGACCTGTTACTAGGGGCTTCATCCGGTTAAATTCCGGAACACGTTATCCGGATGTTTATATTCAGACACAAATGTCTTACGGACAGAGTCCGGAACATTTTCGTTTTTCATGGCCTGTCTGAAGGGGGCTTAAGAAAATTATCCTCTTGAATTGGAAAAATAGAGGTACTCTTTGCATCAACCAGTATAGAAATCATTTGTTAGATCATATTACACTTGATACAGCCTCTGCTTCCACTTCAAATCAATCTCTCTGGGCTCCTTTGATCGGTTCCATCACATAGCGATGACGGGGGACCATTGATATTGTACTGCGGGATGATGTGGGTGATGGGGTGGAGGGTCTGGGTTTGGAGTATCCGGACGTTCCCTGGAGGTGGGTTCACTGGGGGGGGTCTGGGACTGGGGGGCTGCTGCTCCCCTCTGGAGGTGCTTGGGTTGCCTCGGGGGGTGGACTATTGGCGGTTGTGAGTGGGGCCCTTTGGGGGTCTTTGCGGTGGCCATGAGTCGCTGCCTGGCAGCTGCATTGCTCCTGATCGGGTCTGGGTGGGGGTCTGGGGGCTCGGGATGTGGGGGTGGCTGGTCCCGTGTGGGGAATTGGGCGGGGCCTTGGGGGTCGGGTCCTGACATGTATGCTGCCGGGAAGAAGGCAGGAACATGCAGCAGTGCCTGGCCTGTGCTCAGGGGCCTCAGGTTGACCTTGGCTCCTCTGCTGTTCCATAACAGGGGAGAGGGATGTCCAGGAGGGGGAGGACTCAACCTTACCTGGATGTCCCATGTCTTATATAGTCTGGAAGTTGTGCAAATGCAGGGATGGGCATAGATATTCTGCTGGGGTGGGGCTGGGTTGGTGCCCTCTGACTCCGTGAGGCTCTGTGACGCTGCTGCTTTGGGCCCTGGCAGGATGGGCTGGGGTCTCCATGCCCTGGGCGGCATTTTGGCAACAGAGGTGCCAATTGGGGCCAGTGGGGGAGCTGGCTCCCTGGAGGGCTTTAGTCCAACCAGCCATTCCTCCCCATCCCCACACATTTTTTCTCCTCCTGCTCCCTCACATCATCACACAATCATGCACATAGGACCTTGGGGGGTAGACAAGTCAGGGGGTGCGGGTATGGACCCCATTTCCACATTCTTGTGGCAACCTGCCCCCCAATTTTATTTGCACTTTAAACACTTACACCAGTGACATTTGACACAAACACACACTTAGGGCCTTGGGAGTGAGCACATTCAATGGCATTTGGAAGGGGGATTTTTCAGTCTCATCCCGAGTGCTGGTGCCCACTTCCAATTTCAAAGTTCACTTAGACACTGAGGGCTGTGGGTGCAAGTAGGGTGGTGTGGTGACATCAGCTGGCATAGGCCAGACGATGCCCGCACTGCCTGCTCACCACAGCCATGGAATACGCCTCATAAACACGCACAACACTATATTGGAGCAGGCAGAGGGAGACTAGGGGTCTTAGCACACTTCTGTTGTCACTTGGCTTCCTGGGGCTGGAGGCTAGAAGGGAGATCTGGCCGTCTGGTTGGGGTCTGGGGTGGTGGGTTGCTTTGCTCAGCTTTGGGCGGGGGAGCCTGCTCATCAGCACCCCAGCAGAAAGGGTCGAACTCTGGGAACCAGTGATGGTTGTACCCCATGTGCAGCAGTACCGGGACCAGAGTGAATAGGGTGTATATGGGGAGCATGAATGGGTGTCTGGCGTGCATGTTTGTAAGTCTTTTGTTGTATGTGTATGTGTGAGCATGAGGGAGGGAGTGTGTGACTGTGTCTGTGTATGACTGTATATGTCAAGTGGGGCCTTTAACTCCTCCCTTCCCCTGGGACTTCTTTTGATGCTAAACATCTTCGTCTCCCCTCCCCACCACACCTGGTGTGGAGTGTGGTGCCTTGATCTGCCTGTGTTCGTGGCTCCCGGGTCAGGGGTTTAAGATTTTTGGCGTATGACCGATCAATCTCGGTGGCTGCCTGGTGGGATCTGGGTCCCTGGGCTCTGATGAGTCCCTGGCGGGGGTGGTCGTCCCTGGGTCCTGGGTTGCTGGGTCCTGGGCTCGGCCGGCTGGGGGGTGGGAGGCTGCGGGTGGGCCTGTGGGCGCTGATATCTCCCGGGACTCTGCCAGCTGCTGGTTGTGGCCCCCAGAGTTGATCCTCTGCACCTATCGAGGGGGGCAGGGGCTTTTCTGGCCGCGGTTAGGGGTCCCTGTGCTCTGGGGAAGCTCCTTGATCTCTGGGACTTTGGAGCTCCTTCCATCTCCTATGCATCTTTAGGGGGCAGATCTGTGGCCCCTCACACTCTCTATTGGACGCTCCTATAGAGAAACCTTACATATACAAGTGTGGGTACGCACACAGGCGCTCACATGGTGCTCTCATAAGTATGGACTTGGGCACATTCAACAAATGTCTTAAGGATGTGGTTGGCACTAAATGCACTGTGATTTATTATTGTGTGATTGTTCAGTAAAACAATGTTGATTTTACATTTCTTCATCAAGTTGATGCAGTGATAGCTTGCTCCTGTTGTATTGTTGTGTGTCCCTTTTCTGCAGGTCTAGAACCAGACTAGGCGGGCGGCAATGGTCAGAAATTCAGCGGGAGCGGGCAGGAGCGGGATGAAGAAAAAAGTCCTGCGCAGGGCTCTACTTTGATGCTCCATCTGAGAGTAAAATCTGTAAGGCTTATCACCAGCATTCAGACATTAATTCTGTTTGCTTCACAGCCAGACAGGACACAGAAAAAAATAAATAAAAGACTGGTAGTGGGTGATTTAACCTAAATCTAGACCAACCCTAGAAGTAGCTCTGCAGGTCGATCTAGCCACGCTCCATTGTAGCTTCAGCAGGTCTAACATCGGTCCGAACAGTTCTGGCCAATCACAGCGCTCTATGTTTTTTTTATAGATAGTCTAATTGTTTAAGTACATTTTTATATTAGGAAAATGCAGCATCAATGCGTAGGCTTTCCTAACTGTTTGATCTTTAGAAAAATAACCTTCTGTATTTCCTTAAAGAGGTCGTAATGTCCCCCTCAGAGTCTTACTCCACCCACGTATCAATTTTAAAAAATGCAACATTATTAGGCGTTGCCTGGAGGACCGAGAGGGCGGAACCGCGGCAGTGACGAAGACGATGGCTAACTAGACGATGCTAGCTCCCTTCACTCTGAGCAGTCATTAGAAGTGGAGGACGTTTCTCCCCCTCCTTACCCAGACACTCGAGAAGAAAGGGACCAAGTCTATTTGGAGGAGACAAGCGGACCTGAGCCTTATTGTTTTGAGCTTGTGAGTTGCCTGAAATTACCGGAACCAACCCAATTGAACCAGCTCTGAATGGTAAGTAGCCGTTAGCCATAGCATCAGATTAGCTGCAGGGTTTTGCTCCACGGCCCTAGAGCTAGTATTCAGCATGTTTTAGAGGTTTATCTGCTTCAACACACCTGGTTTTAATCAGCAACAAATAGCTGAGCTGCTTAACAGCTAATCTAACCTGTTAAAGCAGGAAAATCCACTGAAACGTGCTGGATAGCAGCTCTCCAGGAGCTCTTGGCTCAAGCTACAGTCTGCTGCATAAAGTTATGAAAATGTCCCATGAGAAAATTATTCTGTAATGTGTTCAGCCCACTAAAACTGCCCTGATTTCTTTATTTATTTACTAATAACAGCTGCTCTCTCGGTTCTAGGTCCTCTGGTGTCTGCAGGTGGTCTCTGGTGTCGTCAGGATCAGGAGCTTCCAGAAGAATGTGTCTTTCAATGACTCTTTCCCCCTTATTTGTTATATTAATTAAATAAATCTCAATTGATATATTTCCTGTTTTTGTTCATGTCCATAAATACTTAAACATGCTTGAAATTAAAACAAGCTTTTAACAGTGAGGTGCTAGTTTAAATCATCACAATAGAGCTAGCTAAACATGCAATGTGATAATTCAATTAATGTAATTTATAAATATCCATTAAAATATCAAAACTGGAATCTAAATGAGATATTTGGCAGCACAAAAAAACTTGTCAAACACAATATTTATTATAATAATTGTAGGCAGACAGGAGACAGAGCTGATGGAGGTTCTCAGTCATCGAAGGATGGCTGAAGGCTTTCCAGGAACAGATGTGGTGTTGTCTCTTCTCTCTCTATTCTGCCAGATGAGCTGATAGGTTACAGGTGTGTGAGGACATCCTCATGCTGTCACAACCAGATGACAGGAGTTATCAGGTGATCAGCCAGGCTAATGATGAGATGCAGAAAGAAAAATCATGCAGAATGAAAACAAATCCAGGACAGTGTACAGTAATAATAATAATATGTGGTGTTGCTCACCTTATGTGCTCTTATAGAGTTATTAACGTGTGCCTGCCTCATGGTGTAGAGTCCATATTTTGCTGAGTGTCCTGCAATAATGCAGGTTATTATTAGTTAATTTACTTTTGATAGCAAAAACAAAATATTTAATGTAAAAGTTATTTACCAGGTGAATCAGCTCACAGTCACCACCAAGTGTCACAGGGCCAGAATCAATAGCCTCCGTCATGATGCCATGATGTAATCACATACGTTTATTTAATTGTTAATATCTTAAAAATTTTGAAATGTTTTAATTTTTTTTTACCTTGAACAGTTCACTGAGCTTGCACTATAACTGAGGTGGAAGCTGGAATCAACAGCAGACACCTCACATCTTGGTCTTTTCAGGGGTGTGGACGCTGCTCTGACTTTCTGGAAGATGAATTTCCGTCATGGTCCCTGTGTCACAAGACACACTGAGGCTGTGAGCTCTAAAAAAACAAAGAAGCAGCACATTTATAAACATTTAAAAGAGCATAAAATCACGTGTAACAATCTGTAAAACAAATTAAAACTAGAAGGTAATAAAATGTTTACATAGAAGATTATTCACCTTTGATACGGGTAACGCTTCACGTCAGCCTGGACAAGTGCATTCTTGCAGACTACTAAATCAGTCTGACAGCCAGTGTCTTGGGTAGATTCAGCCTGAAAAAAAAATAGAAGCACATTGTTGTTTATAAAGTCAGATAATGTACAAAAGAAACTGTCCAATATAGACGCTTTATAACATTCCTAGTGTGTGATGTTATTATAACGTAAAAGTCAGTCGCATATGATGTGGAGAGCCTGAAATGCGACCTCCTGAACAGAATTTCTCACGGAACCGGGTCACGCTGTGCTGGATTTCACGCTGTAATGCTGTGTGTCAACTAGTGCTGTGTTAGTTAGAGTCACTGTTGCAGAATTACCGACTGACACAAAAGCAACCCGAATTTTCTCTGAGCCTGACAGTCATGTGGACCGTTTTGTCGGCCAGGGCTTCGAGATATGTTCCGGTTCGCCGCTGATCCTAACCTTACATCCCGTTCCACATTTTGTGAACTTGACAAATCTGCCCGAAGGCAGTGCAGGCTGATATTAGCTAAATGGAGTGAACCACGTCTCACAAACTTTGCATTTAGGTAGGAAATTGTCTTTAGAAGATGTTAACTTTTATTTAGCTTACTCACCTCAGACTGGAGCCCGCCATTGTGGGGGAGCAGAGTCGGTGGGCTGCATCTAAATCGCAGAAGAACCACGGTGGGCACAGCCTCCCTCTTCAAACGGAGGAGTGCAGAATCGCGGGTAAAATGCTGGTTGCAAACTACAGCACCAGGCGGGAGCTGAATGTTTTCCAGACACCGATTGCGCGCAACCACTGACGCCTAATTTCTATGTCCAGCGGAAAGGAGTACAACCCCACAGAGCCACCGCAACCATACTACACTACACCTTCTCACAGCATACTAACACGATATCGAGCACTATCTGAACTACTTTCCTAATAACACTAACAGCCAAACACTAACTAAACTACATTATCCAACAGCCAAGCTAACACTAAATAAGTATGTATAACATTAAAGGCTACGCTAAAGACTAGGATATGCTAATGCTATATGCTAATGCTGAACTACGGCTAACCTCCTACACTCGCATGCAAATCCAACTCCCAACTCGCCACAAGGCGTGGCCGAGACTCCCGATGCTTTTATAACGTTGACACAGAGCTGCTACGTAGTACTCTACTGGTTTACGTAGTATCTTACTCTTTAGCCATTGGCTAAAATTTATTCAAAATGAGTCAAATTCTATGTTTTAAGCTGAAGGTGGCGCTATACTGTGGTATTTAGGCAGAATTTTTAATTTTTAAAGAAAATGCACCAAAATGCTAAAATAATGAATACACACATTTAAAACACTATTAGACACTTATTTATACAGTTCATCAGCAAAAAAAAGTTAATTTAGACGTTACTTGCTCTTTAAGGGCAGCGTTAACAGTTCACGTTCATTCAACATTCTCTTTTTTTCAGAAATATTAGACTGTCTGCTGAAAGGTGGGTCAGTTGGCAGTCACAATGTCACCAGCTATAGGAAACCCCATGTTCTTAGGGAATGACGGAGCAAATCCTGTAAAATTGAATAACTTCTGTTTAGCACCGTCATGGTCGCTAGGTGACAGGACATACGGCAAGATAAGGGTACAAATAAATCTGAAGACTAGACTGTCAAATTGAATTCAATTTATTTTATTTGTCGTTCAGTTTTGTTCTCCCCAGTCAATGAAAGACCGGGTGTGTGTTGCCTACAGCAGCCTATGTGGACTGGGTGGGCCACTGATTTTGGACACAGCTGCATGTCTGGGGTGTGTTGTAATTTAGCCACATTGCTGGATAAAGAGCAACATAGTTCCATGTCTGTGTGGGAACTCCTGTATGCCTCAGTACCCTACTAAAATACCCGAATACGAAAATGTGTACATGTGCACATTTGAACAGAGCAGGTGATGCTGGAGTAGATTCTATATAACTTTTTGAAGAGGCTTGCTGAATGACGTAAAAGAGGTGAGAAAAAATTTCAAGAGTGTTAACACTCACCGTGTTGCCTAGCAACAGAACATTGTGTCTGAACAAATGCAGTGCAGACTTGCATTCTGAATGTATGTGTATTGGGAGCAGAAGTCAATATTGTTGATATTGCTTATACATATCAGTCTCTCAGATCTTCCATCATCCATTTTCTTCCGCTTATCAGGGGTCGGGTTGCTGGGGCAGTATCCTAGACAGAGAAGCCCAGACTTCCGTCTCTCCAGCCACGTGGGCCAGCTTCTCTGGAGGAATCCTAAGGCATTCCCTGGAAACATAGTCCCTCCAGGGTGTCCTGGGTTTGCTTGTTGGTCTCCTCCTAGTTGGACGTGTAAGGAAAACTTCACCAGGGAGGCATCCAGGAGGCATCCTAAACAGATGTCCAAGCCATCTCAAATGACTCTTCTTCATGTGGAGGAGCAGCGGATCCTGGAGAACCGAGCTTCTCACCCTTTTTCCAAGGAAGAGCCCAGACACTCTGCAGAGAAAACCTATTTTGGCCGTTTGTATCTGCAAACTTGTCCTAAACCTTGTGACCATGTGAGGGTTGGAACGTAGGTTTGGGATGTGCTGGAGAAGGCTTTATGCAGAGGTCAGACTCTACCATCATCAGTGCAAGTTCCTGCTGAAACAATAATGCAACCCTGGATGGAGATAAGTCTGATGTTGCAGAAGCTTATCAAAACAACGCCGCAGCAAAT